AGAATATAACCATGTCTGAGTTTAATGTAGTAAAAGTTCAAAATCTGTGGCTGGCAGACTCATATTTAGACTGATATGTGAGCTAATTTCCTCCAAGATGAATTCATTATGCTTGTCATCCGGCTCCGTATTTTTAGTGTTACTTGAAGGCCTTGGTAAAATTCACTGTGAAAGTTATTTGAAATACATAATGCAAAGCTCAGAACAGTGAAAGATCTGGAAGAAAGAGTTCCCAGCTGAAGGAAGTTGGTATTAGGATTTGATTCTACACCAATGAGATGTCACTGGGATTCAGTCACTGTCAGTTAATTATAAATGTTTAGATTCTGTGATTGTGAATCTTTGTCTCTGTGAATTCACTATGATTGTGAAACTTCTGTCACAATCATAGTAGCATCCCTATAGCTATTGGTCTTGCTTTCAAAAAAATAGTTATAAGGAATGTAACTAATGATGTTTTTTGAGTTAATACTAAGGAAAGCTTCATGCATTTAGCAGTAAACATCTCTGATAATGTTGAGGATGCTCAAATTATTTAGTTTTTCTTGCTTTCCCATTTTTTACTTTCTAAGCTTGTATGTGAGCATTGATTAAATGAATGATAAGGTCCACATCTGATCGATTTTTTTACTTTTTAAATTTAGAAGGTGAAACTCTATCACATTGAAAGTTTAGAATTATGGCTGAGATAATAAAGGTCTGATTCCAGTGGAAGTTAAAAAGGAAAAAGTTGCCTCGCAAATGTCAAGGCACCTTGTGGTCCAAGATGATTAAAACTAAACTGTTTGTTATATGAATCCCAAGGTGCAGCTATATCTCAGCTTCCATGACATTTAGCCAGTGACTTTTCATAGCTTGTTAATAATGTATAGCTATCTCAATATAAATTTGCAGTGACAGAGCTGGCCTGTTACAGTAGAGCTGTTAACTAGATTTATTTTGCACAGAAAATGAAGATTTGAAAAAGCAGATTCTGACTAATGTCAAAAAAGATTTCACATTTACGAGATTATTTTACCCAAGACAGTTGATCAGGAAAGGTGCTTCTCTCACTGATCTATTATTCTTCCTGAAGTCCTATTACCAAACCAAGAAGTATTAACAAAACATTACCCTACTCATTAAGATTAACGCTCATGAAGAAAAATTGATGTCCCAAACAGATTTTACAGTCTGGACTGGTCCATAAAGTTCATTGATTTTACTGGGTTTAATTATTCAAATAGACAGGTAAAGGTTACAGCATAAATGCTCTCTTATAACTACTGTTACTGTTAATCCTTGCTCTCAGATAAACCTAATAAACTCTGTATTGCAGAAGCCATGGCTTTTTTTCTGAACCTTATATGTCACAGGTATACAAATTATTCATAAACTATAAAAGGTCACAAGGCAGATGAAGAAAGAACGGGAGAGTAGAGGATAAGGGTATAGATAAAAAATAGACTCACAGAGCAATTAGTTACAAAAGAGACTTGAAGACCTATGAGTTATAGCAGCATCTGAATTAAAGTTGTGAGGAAAAATTTGGTTGACATTTGCGTTCTTTCAGATTTTCTCTGAGGGTAGAAGCTTACTCATACATTTAAAAAAAAAATTACACCTGTAATTGTCACAATCAATCAATCAGTCAGTTTTTCATTTTCATTTAAGTCTTTTTATAACTCATGATTTCATGACTTCGATTTAATTTTTGGGAATTGACCTTTTTAATTTTTTTATGTAGTATTCCAAGTAGTAGAAATTCATGCATGACAATGGTTCATAGAATTCAGAATTAACATGAAATAAAACTTTGATGACAGTTATTGCTGCTGTTTGTTTTTTTGTTTGTTTGCTTGTTTTCCCCAAGAGTTTTGTGTAGGGCATTCTGAGCTTTTATTTAAAAGAGTGGTTTACCTACTCTTATGGAAATGCAATCCATAATCAGCAAAATACATATATTTTGGCAACCTTGAATTACTGTGGAACAGTTCTGACGAGGCTTGAATGACTCCATTTCTGCATAAAACACTTAAACTAGTCTGTGAAGTTCACTTATCTCTTAGTTAAATATTTCTGATACTGATATAAATACAAAATCTGTTATTTGTATAGAAGTATCACAGATTCACAGAAACACCAAGGTTGGAAAAGACCTACAAGTTCATCCAGTCCAACCATCCACCTATCTCCAATAGGTCTCACTAAACCAATCCCTCAGCACAAAATCCAAACGTTCCTTGAACAGCTCCAGGGTCACTGACTCCACCACCTCCCTGGGCAGCCCATTCCAGTGCCTGACCACTCTTTCAGAAAAGTAATATTTCCTATCGTCCAGCCTAAATCTCCCCTGGCACAGCTTGAAGCCATTCCCTCTAGTCTAGTACATGTATTTTTTTGTTGTTTAAGTAACTGCAAGATTTTTTTCTGCAGTTAGTGTTTTGTTCAGTAACCATGAATTTGAGAGACTGTGACTAGTTGAGTTTATGCTGGAGTGTGAAGAATCAATTAATTAATAGATACCTCTGCCACCCTTTTAGCTTTCTTCTTTAAAAAAAAAAAGTAAAATGTTACTTTGATGCAAAAGCATTGATGTTCTTAAGTTCGATCTGACCGTCTCTTCACTAATGGAAAAATAACCACTTCATTCTTCTATGTATGTTCTGCAGATTTGTTGTAAGTGTATGTTTCTACCTTATTGATAAATCATAATGTCCGTTTCTTTGCTGCATTTGCCAAGTTAAATATGTTAATTGATATAAAGAGTATCAGTGAAGGGCTGGCATTGGTCTTATAAAGTGCAAAAGATGCTTCATTACATTGTAAAAAATTACATGTGAAGACAAGGATGATTATAATAAATTGATGATCTGACCCACTGTTTAGCAAGAGTAGGAATAAGACATCTGCTGCACTTTGAAACAGAGCAAATTAGGTAGATAGCACTTTACCTGACCTCTGATTGATAAAATATTAAATATAAAATACTGATAAAATAGAGATAAAATGTTAATGTTATGATTTCATATATAGTTCTGTAAATCTACCTGTAGTAAAGTTATTAATAATTACGTTGTGTTTTCTTCTTACTAACGAAATATTTGATAGGAATATTTAATAGGGCTTGATTCATTTTCTCTGAATAGGTCAGCCAAGTATATGTAGGCAGCACCCTAATAACTCAGTTGTCTTTCTGCCTATACGGCTCCCTCACGTTGAAAGGTCAATTCATCATTCTATTAATGGGCAGGTCCTTAGACAGCTAAGTCCTCATCCTAAGTGATTCATCTTTCTTTTAGCCTGATCTGTATATCTAGGCCAGCTGCAAGCTTCTAGATTGTTTTTATACCATGTCCATTACAGGTCTGTTCTCTAGTGCCTTTCCCACCTGTCCCCTGATTCTATATGATGCCTCACTCAATTTAAGTATCCTAGCCATGTTGTGCATAAAGCCCTTCAGACTGTTCCCTCCGCTGTTACTGAATCCAAGTACCACAGTGACTTTGAGGCAAGAACAAATAGCAGATTCTATCAAATTATAATGAATCATAATGAAAACCATAGTGAAAATCGTTTAGTAAAGCAAAGATGTTGAATATGACAGATCTTCCCAACATAATGCTGTTATTCAGGACCCAGAGAGCAAAGTTTTCTTACTGCTTTGCAATGACTGTACCTTCCCAGGTGTCTGCAAACACTTTTGAGATCAAATGTTTATGAAAGTTAAAAACTTTTAATTTTCTTGCCTAACTAGCTGTATGGGCAAAATGATTCTTGATGTCATCAAGACATAACATGAGGATCACAGTTGTCACCACCATTTTTCAGGTGAGAGTGCAGCTCTCACATGATGGAATCATCTAATGATAACTTCTCAAGGTAAACTTCCCATTGGAAGCTAAATTTGAAGACTGAACTATAATAGAAACATGGTGTCTTTCTATCTATCTTCTATGATATAAACATCTTTGCTTTAAGCAGAGATGCTTCTAGCCAGAGTAGGGCTGGAAGTGTCTCTGCTTTATAACTCCCAATATTCTTCACAAGTACAAGGATACAGGCAAGGAAGGAGAATCCCATGCTAATTTGATGCTAGCTACTGGGAAGACAGGAGGCTTGCACTAAGAATGCAAGTCTTCCATGAGTGCAAACAGTCCTTGTCCCAGAGCTGGTGCCTTTATTACCTCTGATGAAAGAGGTGTAAAACCAGTCATAGAACCAGCAGAGCAATGTTAGGTTATCTCTCTTCCCCCCACCAGAGTGAGTGTCATTGGCTCCAAGAGCAGGGCCTGACCCTTCTATTCTTTCTGTTTCATGATGATTTTATTTTTGTTCTCAAGATAGAATTCAAACAATCATACTTTACTTTTTAAATTTTACTTTCATTTTCTGTTTCTTTGGTGATTTTTTTTTTTTTTTTTTTTTTTTTTGCATTTTAAAATCGCTGCTGTTTGGATCCTTGTTCATCTGTAATACCCTGCTGTAAGCCTATTATTTTTTAAATACTCCTGCTGTTTATCATCTTAGCTCCCACAATGCCTTTATTTGCTAAAATGATAACTGACAAACTCAACTTCCTCGTGGTGTAACTTCTCATCTGAAGAACTGTATCAGCCAGTAGTCCTGAGAGACAAGTATACAGAAAAGCACCTTTAAACTTACCTATATATTTTGGTCCGAATTTAGGAATTTCAACTTGGAAGTGCCTCACATGTTTTGGTTGCACTTCAGGATCAGTTTGAGTCACTGGAGGTGAGTTGATGACTAGCTGATTTTGATATATTTTTTTTTTCTCCAATCTTAATTATTCTGTTATTCTGAGAAATGATAGAATGAATATACTTGCCATAATCTTCACTAACTGGTCGAAATTAAATTCTGAAAACGTTGTTTGGATTTTTTTACAGAAAATTAGCAGTATTTTTCTGCTGCCTTTCACTATGGAACTATTGATTTTATGTTGATACCTTTGTAAATTTAAAAGCTCAGCCTTCACAGTGTGTTCTCTATCTTCATCAGATAAACTCTAGGAATTATTTGCTACTAAACCTGGATATGCATTTCTTTATAAAGGTATAAATTGTTTTTTATTAAATTTTAATCAGTAGACACTATCTGAAGTGGTCAAACCTTGATATGAAAGCTATCTAAATACCTGTGTTTCATTTGCAGAATGGCTGTATCCCTTGTGCAAATTTATTCCAAAGTTTTTGATTGGGTTTAATGCCACTTATAGCACAAGAACTATTTTCTGTATCTACTTAAAATTTTGAAGTCTTTTTAATTTACTTTCTTTTGTTTCTGTCTCTCCTAATCCTCAAAAAGAAATCAGTTATGGGAAGGGCCCATGTGGAGGGGAAGAACATATATATAAATACAAGGAGGAGGAATGAGGGAAAGTGCAGGCAAACAAAAATTTCAGAAATGACTGAAGTTCTTGTCATCTCTTAAGAATCATTAACTTCATTAATACCCTCAATAAGATTTGTTGTAATTTTAACAAAGTAGTTTAGGAAAGCTGCTGACATTAAGATGATGTTTTATGAATTGCAAATAGTTATCAGTAGCATGCTTACTGTTAGTGATTTCATAATTGTTCACTTAATAGAGTGCCTGCCTCTGCAGTCAGGAAAATCATATCATTTATATACAGTTATGCTATCTGAACACCAGCAAACAACATCGTGGTATTGTAGTATTAACAAAACAAACAGAAACAAATTAAGTATTCTTTATGTTGAATAATACCTAACGTAGGAAAGGGAGTACATTCTTGCAAGTACATGCAAATTGATAGCAATTCATAGCAAGAGTATACATGGCATATAAAAAAGTGTCCATTTAAAGCTTCCAAATGGATATTTCTGAAAAAGACCTTTAATCTTTTATTCTGTGCTTGGAAGCAAGCCTTCTCACTACTCATAGGCATTCTGTCTGGAGTTACAAGTTTGTAGTTCTTCCAGTTTGTTTAAACTGCTTTTTTATTTTATTTTTCTAAAGTAAGATGCCTTCAAGCATACCAGAGTACAAGGTTTTAACATTAAATGTGTTTAAACTGCCCCAGATATCCCTTGTTTAGTTGTCATTTTTTCTGTTATTTGCCAACAGAATGTTATTTGCATTATCTTATTGGCATTCATTGTGCTGATTCTCCTTCCCAAATCTTGGAGAAGAAGCTGCTTAATAATGTTGTATAGTCAAAGGAAAGACAAAGGTATACACAGAAAATAATTTAAACTTTCAGTGAGAAGTAACATCCTATGTGTTCTCTGCTCCATTGAGGAAGAATTCTGTGATTACAACAGTTAGATAAAGAAAGCTAGGTAGGATGAATCCAGTTCCAAATTAGATTCTGATGTTTGGCAATTATATAAAAGTCCAAACTATATTTTATTAGATTTTGTTTTAAATTTTGTAGCAGAAATGCCATACAGGTCACTCTATGTCTCACACACTAAGACTTATTCATCACTTTTCTCATCACTTCTCATCACTTTTTTCACATATTGTAATTGTTGTAATTTTGTATCAGAAATAGTGTTGCCAGCAGAAGCAAGGAACTGATCATCCCTCTGTACTCAGCACAGGTGAGGCCGCACCTATGTACTGTGTTCAGTTTTGGGCCCCTCACTACAAGAAAGACATTGAGGTCCTGGAGCGTGTCCAGAGAAGGGCAACAAAGCCGGTGAGGGGTCTGGAGCACAACTCTCACAAGGAGTGGCTGAAGGAACTGGGGTTGTTTATTCTGGAGAAGAGAAGGCTCAGGGGAGACCTTATCTCTCTCTAAAACTACCTGGAGGGAGATTGTGGCAAGGTAGGGGTCTGCTTCTTCTCCTGTGTCACTAGCAATAGGACTAGAGGGAATGGCCTCAAGTTGTGGCAGGGGAGATTCAGGTTGGATGTTAGAAAAAAACTTATTCTCCAGAAGAGTTGTTAGGCACTGGAACGGGCTGTCCAAGGAGATGATTAATTTGTCATCCTTCGAGGTTTTCAAGAAATGTTTAGATGTTGTACTGAGGGATGTGGTTTAGTAGGAAATACTGATGATAGGTAGATGATTGGACAGGATGATTTTGGAGGTCTTTACCAATCTTGGTGATTCTATGATTAGTTACTTGCAATATAGTAGCATACGCTTCAGTTTGTACATTTTCCAAACAGTGTAACATCACTGTATTCTGTGGGTGGTATGGGCTTTGGAAAATCTGTTCTACTTTCATCGTCTTGATAGATTCCAAATTACCATCATCTGGAATGTATTCCATATAAGGTGAAAAAATGTTTCAATAGTCAAGGAAGAAATCAAAATATAATTACCAATAAATAATGCTATCAGTCTTCTTGAACTGTTACATCTACCTGTTATGTGATCCAGCTCACTTCTCTTTTGCATTAAGATCTGGAAAGCTAAGGTAAACACTGCAGATATTTCATTCTAATGATGTATTTTGTATTCACACAGTGTATGGTATCTTGAGGTGTAAGTGACATTTACTCAAAGGCAATTTGTTGATGTACTCATCTTCCTGTAAGTGGGGCATAAAGTTTTATGTTCTTCATTATAGACAGGGAGACGTGCAAGATGTATGCCACCCAGCTGGTAACATTAGATTTTGAATACATTACCTTGTGTGAAATGTATCCGTATTAAAACACATCTCAACAGATTAAATGTTGTAAACACCATTTTGGGGCTCTGCAGAATGCATTTGATTCTGCACAGCTGTGGACTATGTATGCAAGGGTATATTTACACAATCATTTTCATTGAAGAGATTAGCAAGATTTCTGAGTTTCATTAGAGATATTGCTAGCGTGTTTGGTCAATTGTAAAGTTATAATATGTTGAAGTATATTATGAATTGTTTATATTAATGTTGAACTATATTATGTTATGGATCTTATTTGGTGTTAATGATCATGGGATTTACAACAAGAAAAGTACAGAAAAAGTTGCTTTAAGTTGACTGATATTTGATGATTAGAATGATAATAAAAAACATGGTCCCCAAAGGTTGACTTTTATGGTGTAGCTATATTTGATAGTGTAACATTTCTCAACAAGCACTTTTCCAAAGAAAAACTGCAGCTGGTTTACTAAATAAACTATATTATTAGGCAAACAGACTCCCCAGACCATGATAAGAACCATGTTAGAAGCAGCAAACTGCAGTTGCAGTTGGGTTTGATCATCATCCAGGTACTACAGTTCAAATACAAAATTTGTGGATGATTTTTGCCATCATTAATCCATCTCTATGGTTTTCAGTGAAATGCCCCTTAAGTTGGAAAGGAATACATGACATTGTGTTTTGTTAATGTGCACGGATTAGATGAAATGTTTTTGCATAAATACATTTTATACAATTGACTATGCATAGTATAACACATTGTGCTGTTTTCTTCAGGTGTCTTGCTGGATTTTCTGGACAGTTTTGTGAAATAGAAGTTAATGAGTGTAATTCATCACCCTGTCTACATGGTTCAACCTGTGAAGATCATGTCAGTGGGTACACCTGTCAGTGTCAGAAAGGTAACCAACATTTGACGGGGAGCTGGTTAAAATTTCATCTGACTGATGAAAATTTTTGAAAATTTTAACTTCAGTATTCTTATTCTTATTCCACATACTGTCGTGCTTACATCTGCTGGGTGGAATGCAGCTGTTTTCTTGTGCTTCCATAGATCAAATTAAACAGCAATTTAGGGAAGTATGTCACAGTTAGCCCACATTGTCCTGCAGTCTCAGATTTAATCTTTTCAGGACTATATCTCATTTATAAGGCAATATATCTTTGGCTTACTAGGACTGCATTACTTTTAGGAATAAACTTACACTGAGATGAAACTTTTTATTTATTTATTTATCAATATTTTATTTTTTAAATGTTTTTTGTGTCTAAGAGACAATCAGTAATCTCTAAAGATGCTGCATTCTTGATACATGAACCACTGAGTGAAAAATTTCTGGTCTTTGACATATAGAGGGCCAGAATTCGTGATCACAACAGTCCCTTCTGATCTTCAGAGTCTGAGTTATAACCTGTCTTTCGTAGTATACACGTTTTTTCATAACTGTTCACTAATACAAATTACTTAAAAGCTAAGATGTATTTTTTATCATTATTTTGCTTCAAACACAAGAAATTAACAAATTCAAAAAAAATATTTTTTTAAGCTACTGATAATGTAAGTATATTTGAATACAGACTTTCAAAAATTGCTTACCAGCTAAGGGCTGTAACTTCTGTTTCTACACAATACAGTTTCTCTCTTAAACATTTTCCTTTCTTTTATGTACTGTTAACTGCTGTAATCTGTCTATACCTCCACTTTTCTTTCCTCAGTATGATGATTATGCACAAATTTAGCAGGTTAGAAAGATAAAAAATTAAAATAGGTATTTCCATACACTTTCAGTTTAAATTTCAGGGGAAAAAAAAAAAAAAAAAAAAAAAAAAAGTGGCTTGGTTTGCACTCTGCAAATCTGAGAAGATATTAGAAGTTTCAGGGAACATTTTACCCTTGACTATTCATAGACACAAGAGAGCTAACAATACAGATAATTCTGTAGGTGAAGGGAAACCTGTGAAGTCAGTTAATTCAGTTAATCAAGAATATATCCAAGTTTTATTCATTTGTTTACCTATGTCTCTATGGAAATAAATATCAGCAAATATTCATTTCCCCAAGAGATTTTCAGTAGAGTATGAATGTAACGTCTTTATTGTTTGGGTTCTGACTTTTTACTGCTTTTTTTTTTTTTTCCCCTCTACTTGGGGAAACCACAGTTCAAAGATATTTCATTGTACTATCTCCCATATACTGTATAAATAGATGTGAGGATTAATTATAGTTGCTCATAGCTTTATGTTTGATTGATGGTTCTAGATTTTAGTGTTCTTTTATTTGTGTCTTTTTCTTGGCAGGATGGGAAGGCTTGCATTGCGAGTTAGATGTTGATGAGTGCACATCCAACCCCTGTATACATGGCATCTGTGTTCAGAGTGACCCCAGTTTTGGTTATTCCTGTTTTTGCAAGCCAGGATTTGTGGTGAGCTGCTAACATTCTTTCTTCTCCTTTACTTAACCTGACTATTTGTTGTTGCACAGAAAATGCTGTATGTAATCCCTTTCCACTTTATCCTCACTTAGATAAAACCTGGCCTTGCAGAAAAATTCAATATTTTGCAGTGTTGGTCTTTATTTTGTTTACTCATTTTATTAACTCTAACATTCCAGAGAACCATATACCACAGAGAACCATATTCACAAAAAGTAAAAAAGACTTATTGTATGTAGTGGCTTTATCAGTCATCAAAATACATTAATATTTTTACATATGTATTAAGATTAGTCATATTTCAGACTGTCCTACAGATTTATGTTTTGAAAATGAGTTCCCTGAAAGTAAATCAATTTCTTTGAATGCTTATCCCTGTGGGCTTTAGTCCTGTGTTTTATTTTCTCTACTTAACATCTCAAAAGAATCCTCTGACGATGGTTTGATGTGTTAGGTTATTTATCTAAGATTGAAATTTTCACTCTGTCTCTGCCACTTTATGCTTTTTCTTAATGCTATTGGAGATGTGCAGTAGATATCTACAATTTGAGCTTGTAATTCACCTTATTACATTTCAAGTTTAAATTATTAGTATAATTTAATATTTTGGGGTTAGTAACAAGGACAGTAAGGAGTATATGATCTTTTACCTAAAAAAACTTTAATTATTTTTTACCTCTACAACTCTAACTTTGATACTATTAATTGATTTTCTTTATAAATTATGACACTAAGGATGATCAGAGGGCTGGAGCACGTCTCCTGTGAAGAAAGGTTGAGAGAACTGGGCTTGTTTAGCTTGGAAAAGAGAAGGCTTCAGAGAGACCTCACTGTGGCCTTCCAAGGGAACTTGAAGGGAATGTATGAACAGGAAGGGGAATAGCTGTTTGCAAGGGTGGATAGTGATAGGGTAGATAGTAATAGGACAGGAGAGGTTTAGGTTAGATATTAAGAGGAAGTTTTTCGCTTAGAGGGTGGTGACACACTGGTACAGGTTGCCCAAGGAGGTTGTGGATGCCCCTGGAGGCATTCAAGGCCAGGCTGGATATGATTCTGGGCAGCCTGGTCTAGTGTTTGGTGACCATGCACATAGCACGAGGTTGAAACTATATGATCATTTGGTGGTTCTTTTTAACTCAGGCCATTCTATGATTCTATGAATTATGCTAATTTTAATTTCTATTCATTATTTGATTGCTGTATTGAAGACTGTAAAACAGAAGGAAAAAATTGCTGTGAATAGGACTCCTATTTACCTTCACAAATTCTGTGCAAACAAGTGAAGAAAGAAAGAAATTTTTGGACTTAATAAAGTTGTAGGGTTTTCTCCCAAAGCAGAAATTTGTTTAAAATCAGTGAGAGAAAAACAAACCATATAATAGAGCAAAAAAGAAAAAAAAGTGGGAAAAACTTCTGTCAATCCTCAGTTCTTCTCAGGCAAAGTATTCATCTTTGTCCCTTATGCACATTCTCTCCCATTGTAGCTGAATATCCAAGTACATGTCTAAGAGTACAAGTGTTGACTGGGCTTCTCCATAAGAGAAGGCAAAGCTGAAGCCAAGGAGCAGAGAAGCAGGTGTGGTCTATGTCCTTACAGACAGGGACTGGAGTCCCACAGTACCTGAACAAGGAAAGCAGAGTAAGTCTAGTGATGATGGTAACCACGTTCATTCAGAAAGTTCAAGGGCTGAGCATGGTCATAAGGCAAGCCTGAGGTTAAGCCAGGATGTGAATGTAGCAAGGTCGTGATCAACTAAGTGCTAGGTTTGCTATAGTAGACTTTGCCTTCACAGTAAGCTACAATTTTCGTTTATGTTTAGATTAAGGGTCAGTGACAAATATCTGAGTGTAAATGAAGCTTCTGAGATCATGAAAGTGAGACATCTCTCATGTCTTTCTCACATTTTAGCTCTTTTCACAGCTTTCCAATCCAAAGTTTCACAGCTGCACCATACCAGAGCTGACCTTGAGCTGAGGGAACTAAACCAGTGAGTGGTATGGAAGAGGATGCAGTAGCAGATTGCAGAAGTATTAGTGACAGGTTGATTAGATTCTCAGTAATAAATAATATCACATTATCACATCAGTAAGCACTGATGTGATCCCCAACCATGAGCATTCTCTTTTCCAGGCTGAACAAGCATCAGTTCTCTCAGCCTCTGCTATATGGAAGGTGTTCTGACTTGTAATGATCTTTTTTGGCTCTTTGCTTGCCTCTCTCCAGTACCTTCATATCTCTCTTGTACTAGGAAGCCCAAAAGTGGACACAGTACTCTAGGTGTGGCCTCACCATTACTGCGTAGAGGGAGGGCATCATTTCTTTACTTAATGGCAGTGTTTGACTCACCCAGTGCTGCCATTGTTGTTGATCTTCTTTGGTAGAGGTGCTTATTGTTGGACTGTGTTCATTTTTGTCATCCACCAAGACAAAAGCTGCTTTCTAGTGTGTCAGCCTCCAGCACATACTGGTGAATGGAGCTTTTCTATCCCAGGTGCAGAGCTTTGCATTTCTCATTCTTGAGTTTCCCGAGATCTCATATTTCTTCAGCCTCTTGAGGTCCATGTAATAGAAGTAGACTCATCTGACTTATCAACCATTCCTCCTTGATTGTGTGTCACATGGAAACTTACACCTCTAGGGTGATACTAGTCTCCAGGGTACAATGTTAGCGACTGGCCTTCAGCTTGACTTTGCACTGCTGATTCCTAGCAAGAGGCCTTTCAGCCTGATAGTTCAGTCAGCTTTTAGCAAATTTTGCCATCCATTCTTTTAATCCCTTTTTTACTGGCTTGTCTGTAATAATATAATGGGAGAAAGCGCTGAAAGCTTTACTAACCTTGGAATAGAAAACGTTCACTGCTCTCCCCTCATCTGCAAAGCCAGTTGTCTTGTCATAAAAAGCTATTAAGTTGGTAAAAGCACAATTTCCTGTTCATAGCTCATTGTTGACCATTTCTAATCATGCTCATGTTTGTCCTTTCTCTGCACAGAAATCATAAAATCATAGAATCATAGAATGATTAGTTTTGATGGGGACCTTTAAGATGATCTAGTTCCAACCCCCCTGCTATAGGCATGGACACTTGCCTCTGAAAATGGTTTCTAGGAGTACTTAGAACATCAGCTGCCCAGAAACTGAGGTGAGGCTGACTGGCCTGTAATTCCCTGGATGTTCCTTCTTGCCAGTCTCGAAGATGGGAGAGTCATATGCATTCTTCCAGTTGCCAGGAATTTCTCTCATTTGCAGTGACTGACTATCTGTAGTTTTTTTAAACTTGTATTTTACCATAAATCATGTACTAGTGCATACAGTCTGACTAAATTTACTGATGATCTAGTGAAAGAAGGAATACAAATTTCGTAGGGAGCTTTTTTGCATAGTACTATGGAGATAGTTGATACTTCCCTGTAGTTCATAGCAACTTCTGTTGTGATTGTCTTCAAAAGCAGGTTGGCTTTGAAAACAAGGTCAGGATGGAGAATATATAATTTGAGAAATACTGTATTTTTATTTGGAAAATACTCAGATCTTCATGAGAAAATAATGCAAAATGCATTGGTACAAGTCCATGTTTCATTGCACTGTCGAGAAAAAAAGTAGAAATAAGTCAAAAAACAAGGATAGGTTCATCTTTTTTCAAATTACTCTTCTAAATGTTACCCTGGCTTAGGGATTCTCTGAATTACTCATTGCTAGAAAATGCAATGGCATTTTTGGCTTTATCAGATATAAAATCTTCTTGTTTTCTTCATGTATTTTTCCTCCTATATTCCTTATGAGCTTGCTGAAGGTGGGACTAGGTAGATATTTTGTCTAAACTCTGGAGACCATTCTTCTATTACTATGTAGCTCGAGCATTACCTATGTAATATGAACAAACTTGTAAAGAAGAAAGAAGTTACAAATTTCTAAGGTAGCTGGAATTTAAGATTTCTTTACTTTTATTCTGTTAACCACTGTTCCATCTTAAGTCCATAGATTCCACTGTGCTTCGGGAATTGCACAATTCTCAATTGCACAATAGAGAAATGCAAAAATAGTAAAAGGTGCAATGTGCCTATCTTCAGTTTGAAAACCAAAGACACTTGGGGTCTAAACATCTCAGTATGAATATTTGGTAGGCCCCCAGTAGATTCTGGTTCTTAACTATTAGTCAATATGAAGTAGATACAGTGGAATTCCCTAAGGAGTCATTATTCAATTCAAGCTAACGTGTATGTTAAATACATCTTCTGTAGTCTATATATGCAATGTTATCTGAAGTATGTATCATAAAGTATGGATCATGAATTTTCTCAGAAAGTTTGGGAATAAGAACATTATCAGTAATGTATGGGATAAATATTTACTTTTTAAATGGAAGGATCTATGGAAGCATACCTACTTTTAAATATAAATCTGCAGCATTTTCCTTCTGGAAATTGTTTAACTAAAGCATTTACAGTCCCTTTCAATGCTATGAAATTTATCTGTGACAATTCAATATACCCTTCATGCACAGAGGAGTTTATGCACATCTGCTTCGTTTTCACAAGTCATAAAATCATAATAAAATACTGCTCACTATTGCATGTTGTAATAATAAAAGTACACTAATTTGTCAAAATGAAAGTCAGAATGAAGTGCAAGTTTTACAGCAGTAAGAAAGATTATTAGGCAGAAATCTTATTCACATAACTAACTGATCATTTGCACTATGTATGGAATTAGAATAGAGTGAGGAAGAAATATTTTTATACAGATGTCTAAGATATAAATTGGCCTGCTGTTCCTTCATGTTTTAAAAGACTGATATAGCCAGAGATTTTATAAGATGCTGTGAATTTACCAGTCAGCTCACCTTCCTGCCAAAATAAATCGAGTACTTGATTGAAGCAAACATGAATGCATCTAAATCAGTTTAAAACACTCTGCTAAAACCTCTTCCACTTCAAATGTTGAACTGACATCCTTCTAAAAAAATGTGAGTTTCATAGTCCCTATTCCTGCCTTTTGTGTGCCCTGCTGTTTCCTCTTATCATAAACAAATGTTGGTAGAAATCTCAGAAGTGTTTCAAGCTCTTTGAAAAAAATCAGACCAGATGGACAAGAGAAAACTCGTATCCATCTCATGTAAGGGAAAGTGTTCAATCAGCACATGCTTATTGAATGCTGCTTGAGATTTGAGATATGCCCCAGTTCTGGGAGAAGCTTCAATTGGAATTTGCATCTCTTAGATTTTAAGCATGTTACACACTCTTCACAGGATATCAGGCTTCAGCAGTTTATATTCAAAGAGCATATTTATTCAATGCATCAGTGTGGCTGAGAATTTTGTTTCTGAGGCTAACATAATAATACTTCATTGTTAAAACATTTGTGATTCTAGTTAGGCAGTTTCACAGGTTTTTTCTTTTTCTTTTTTTTTTTTTTTTTTTTTTTTTTTTTTTGTAGTTGCAAGGATGATGTTAGTTTTTTACCTCTTTTGCTAGTGTTCTAGAGAGTGCAAAGTAAACTGTAGAAATATAAAATGTTTTATATATTGCTCCAACTTCCAAAAAATTCTGTTTTCAGCTTGTCATGATTTTCCAGGCTTCTTATGACATCTATTAAGTGAAGGCAGGAAACTCAGATGACTGAGCAGAAGGTCTGAGAAGATCAGGCTTACTCCTTTATTTCAAAAAAGGGGAAAAATCTTCCCCTACCTGACATTCTCCATTTTGAAAGTAGGAATTGCATCCAAAAGATGTTGGAAGGATACTTTTTATATCTAACCACCAGTGGTTTGGTGCTTTCTGAAGTTTATTGACATTGCTGCCCAAGGCTCCCTCTGTCAACAGCTGTTTAAGGCAGCAGAGAAGAGGCAGCAGATGATGTAAAACTTTGGTTACTTTTCCTCTTCCCCCTCCCCCCCCTATTTATGGAAAGAAGGTTGCTGCTTTCTCTGTTCTGCTGGCCTATGGCATGATTCTTTCTTCAAAATTTTCTTCCCCTATGCCTCAATGTAATGGCCTCAAGTTACACCAGGGGAGGTTCAGATTGGATATTAGGAAAAAATTATTCTCTGAACAGGATGCTCATGAAGGTGGAGGAATCACCATCCCTGGAGGTGTTCAAGCAATGTGCAGATGTGGCACTTAAGGATATGGTTAGTGGGAATGGTGGTGTTGGGTTGATGGATGGACTTTGATGATCTTAGACGTCCTTTCCAACTTTAGTGATTCTATTATTCTTTAATGTAGCTAGAAATGATGATGATAAAATTATTGACAAGCCCAACCATCAATGCCATCAGTTATTGGAAAATGTAGCATACGGGGTTGATTATGTGTCAGATTATATAACATCAGAGATGCTTGCCTTTCAGGGATGATGTTATACATATTTTAAATACCTATCCAAATGCAGGAGATCCATCTACGTTAACAAAGTCAGCTCTCTCATTGTGTAGCCCACTAGTTCATTACAGCAGAAGTGAAGATAAAACGAACATAGGCTGGATTCAGTGTATACTTATTTCACACCTCAATAGTGCATTTAATTCACATAATTATTGCAGTGAAATTTTTAATGTATTATTAGAAAGAATATTTCAGACTTCCCATGAATTGTTATCCTCGATAAAATTAAAGCTCCAATTTAAAACTGCTGCTACACTTGTATTTTTCAAAGAGTAAACTACAAACCAAATATATTAAAATGGTGCTGTATGAAGATTTGTTAACTGGCAACAACTAATGAAATACAAAAGAAAACATATCTTTGATTTGACAATCAGCGATTCGTAGGTTTTCAGACAGCTAAGTCAGTACAGTTCTCTGTATAACTATATACTAACTTCTTAAATTGAGGTTGCACCTTTATATAAAGATGATTATTTTAATTGGCAAGACCAGTATCTTTGATACTTTACAAATACACATTTGTGGGGAAACAACTTTTATGGATAATTTGTAGTACTGAGTGGGAATAAAAAATACCATTTAGCTAAAAATTTAAATGTACAACTATGCTATTAAATTACTTGAGCAGTATTTTCCAGTTGATTAGATTTGCTTTTGAAAATGTGAACATTTTAATATAAGCAAACAACAATTTAGAATCAAAAGAAAGCAATAATTTGAACTAGCATGACTATGAAATGCAAATTGACTTCAAAAATGGCTTTTTAAAAATTCTCTTTCAGGGACGAAGCTGTGAGCTTAATTACAATGATTGCCTTATACAATCCTGCTCCAGTGGGTTTCTTTGCGTTGATGGAATAAACAATATCACCTGTTTACCTACTATCCTCCAAAGTAAGAAAACAGAAATGGCTGAATTTCCTACTGAAATTTTAGATAATGACCTTCCAGCAGCATTAGCAGTATCTATGGAACTTTGGTCTAAACATGGTATTCCTGATTTTCATACAGAAGAGGTGGCCCAAGGTAAGAAAACTGTGCTTTGGAGTCATGTTTATATCAAGTTTTTTTCCCTGTTTGTGCTTTTGTTTACATGGTAAGAATATTCTATTTTATTTTATTCTTCAGCATGTTGTTTTTTGCTTCCTATACTATTCTTTGTTCTTGTAATTTAATCCATTGTCCTTTCTTAATTACACGTTTATACATAATTGGAAAATTGCTTTTTCTCTTGTGAACATTTTTCTCCAACATCTTGCGTACCCAACAAGGAAAAGTGCACTTGCTCTTAGATTGGTTTTCTGTTTGCTTTCTTAAAGAGTAAAATTTCATGTGCCTCATATAATGCTCAGCTTTTTCTGACCCTAATGCCAATCTTCCCTTCTTTCTTCTGGAATACTTTACTTTACTTTCTGGGGACTTTGTTTTTCCTTTTCAAGTTCACATATTTTCTGAGTGCTTATTTTTCTGTACATCTAGATAGTTTTGCACTAAAAATGTCAGGAATGAGCCTCTGCTATTCTGACAGTTTCTAGTGTGATTTTTGGGGAATCCCAAAATTGTCCCTATTTTTACTTTTTAAAAATATCTTAAGTAAACACCAGTTGTAACAGTTTACTTTGAAGATTGCATCTTCATTGTCACACAGCACGCATGTCTTTGTCCTTATCCTTTTTTTTTCAGAATTATTTAATATAAAATCTTTCAAAGTATTTACTTGTATAAGTAAGCCAGGATTTCTGTTTTTATTTTTATAAGTTTAACTGAGTATTTGATTTCTGTACAGACTAGTCTTTTTGAAGGTATACCTTAAAAGTTGTTTGTTTTGTCTAATTAATAGGTAATATTCCTTCTTGATGTAGGTAATGAGGCTGACAAAAAATACAGTTACTAAATGCAGTTGCATCTGTACCTCTCCCAGAATACCATGTCATCTACTGTGCTGGTGTTCTCAACGGATAAGATGTGTAATTCATTCATTTTATATTGATTCACAGGAGCAATGGATTTAGAAAATTTAATACTTCTGCTCTGAGGTGCACCATTTGTTCTGGTGCTGGCCCTCATATAAAATATGAATAATGGGAGGGTTTGCATTTACTCAGCTCTTGAGGTCACTAAAACCATTTCTATGCTTTTATTAAAAATATGATTTACAGAGTTGTATTTGCTATATAATACCTTGGTAAGACTGCATGAGGTTCTAGTGGTCACGTAATATGCTGCACAATCAATCTGCTTGGGCGTTCATTTTTTTCCTCCCTTCCCTTTTCCTTCCCATCTCCTTCTCTTCTTCTTTCTTAACATGTTTACCAATATGTATCTAAAAAAGCACACACTTTTAGCTGAGGGATACTTCTGATTACCAGTCTGGCTAAGTTAAACTACAAAATAGAAAGACTAAGTATCACTTCAGAGTTAAACTGTGTTTAAGATAGAAAAATCAACCGATGTTACCTCTTCACGCGTTGTTTTGCTGTTCAGCCCAGTAAAAACAAAGACTAATATCACAGCTGTATCACATGTGGCTACCAAATACTTTCACAGATATAAGACAGTACTTCTTTCCCAGTATATTTATGATATTCATTTATCATTATTCATTTAATTCATTTATCACACTTTCTGTTTCTCTTACACAGCTTTAATTGCTAGAGCAGCACCAGGCTGTTCCTTTGTCTGCTGGAGACACAACTTCAGTAATTAGTAACATTCCAGATACTTCAGAAGAATTAAATAGCGAGTCATTGGTCTCCCATGGATAACGGTTTACTACTTCTACAAGTGTGCCGTCAGTTCTCTCTTGGTTGTTGCAAAATGAATCCTGAAGAATTATCAGATGTCTTTTCAGGATCAGAAGAGCAATAAAGATTGCAAAGTCCTTCAATAATTTCTGATTTGCCTACTAAGATATTTATTTAAAAACAGAAATCTCTCCTTACTTCGTTAGTTATTCATGAAACTCAAATGCAAACATATCTTCCTAGTTAATATCTAGCTATTACTTTTCATCCATCAGCCAGACTTGCAAACATTAAATCACAGTCTACTGATTCTTTAAGTGAATTAAGCCGGATATGAGCAACATATTCTTTGACTGGAATAAAACTCTTTGATGTATTCCCAGATCAAATTCTGCACAGCAAACAGTCTCCATTTTATGAGGCATTTTAGGTGTACTCAGAAATATTAAACAGCTGGTATGCACTAATGGGAGCTACTGCTATTACTTCTGGGTATTTATTTTCTTCATCAAGCAGAATAACATCATCAGTGGAGTTCATAGAAATTCATCCTCGTATCCCACTGCAGAAAATACACACACTGATAAGACTGTCTCTGCTGCTTTTATCTTCACAAGAATCATATACTCAATTTCTATCTACTGCCTATAGAAACCTCAGTTATAGACTTACTGGTTGAATATCCTAAAAAAGTTTAATTCCCAGTATTTTGTAGTGACAGGTAATGTTACTCAGTTTTATCTGTACAAAGTGTCTGCAAATATAAATTCATAAAATATTAGTAACAAAGTATTGATCTTTCACAAGCCATCCTGTTTTAAGTTCCCCTTACAAGATATTAGCAACACTGTTCTGCAGTGCATGAACTGAGCAGACACTGTCGTTCATGTTAAGGAATTTCGTATGTGAGTAAACACTTTTATCAAGACTTGACCACATATCTGCAGTGGGCTCAGTTTCAGGCCTTCACTAACATTAATGTCCATTCTTGAGTTTCTTTTATCTATTCAGACAACTTTTTGAAGTGATGGAGCGCTTTTAAACCAAGGTAAAAGTATCCATCACAGTTACATGGCACTTGAACGGAGCAGCTCGTTCAATGGATATGACACCTTAAAACTCTTAAAAATAAGAGTTAAAATAACACCTTAAAAATAAGGTCATATTTAAAAGAACATATGAAAAACTATGAGTTCTAGAATTAAATATGAGGTAATACTGATTAGTTTGCACTATTTTTTTAATACTGTTCCTTTATAAAAATACTTAATACAAAATGAATACTAATCAATAGAAAGAGAGGCTTTTGATCCTCCCCCTCTACTCTGCCCTGGTGAGGCCTCATCTGGAGTACTGCGTCAGTTCTGGGCTCCCCAGTACAAAAAAGACAGGGATCTCTTGGAAAGAGTCCAGTGGAGGGCCACAAAGATGGTGAAGGGCCTGGAGCATCTCTCCTATGAGGAAAGGCTGGATGAACTGGGTCTGTTCAGCCTTGAGAAAAGAAGACTGAGAGGGGACCTGATCCAGGTCTATAAATATCTAAGGTGGGGGGGGGGGGGGGGGCAGAATGGCGAGGCCGGACTCTTTTCAGTGGTGAGTGGAGACAGGACAAGGGGAAACGGCCGGAAACTGCAGCATAGGAAGTTCCGCACGAATGTGCGCAAGAACTTCTTTACAGTGAGGTGACGGAGCACTGGAACAGGCTGCCCAGGGAGGTGGTGGAGTCTCCTTCTCTGGAGATGTTCAAGACCTGCCTGGATGCCTACCTGTGCGACCTGCTGTAGGGAACCTGCTTTGGCAGGGGGGTTGGACTCGATGATCTCTGGAGGTCCATTCCAACCCCTACGGTTCTGTGATTCTGTGATTCTGTGATATTCAGTATTTTGGCTTTCCTTGCTTGAGGCTTTATTTAGGAGAAAGGAGAAAAAAAAAAACATAGAGGGGTGTATTATTTAATTAATTAAAATCACTTAGAAAAATTAAAATGTATTATCGGCTATGAATGTGTAAAGAGGTTTCAGAAGAAGATTTTTCTTTCCCTGTGAGTGTTTGTCCATGTAAATTCCATTGCCGATGTGCATACATAAGTAAACAGATAAAATTCTTTCTGTCAGAAACACGCTTATGCTCATGAGGCCAAGTTGTCCAAGCAGGTCTTCTTCGTTGTGTATTACCAGTTGGTCAATATATGAATCAACACAGAAGTTTGAAATCTATTGAATAATGCAGGCTTAAGATGGAGGGAGGGGGCATCCATAACCTCACTGGGCAACCTGTTCCGTGTCTCATCAGCCTCCCAGTAAAGAATTTCTTCCTAAAAGCTAGTCTAAATCTATCTACCCCCTTCCAGTTTAAAACGAATTCCTCCTCAGCTTTCCTGTAGGCCCTCTTCAAGTACTGGAAGGCTGATATAAGGTCTCCTCAGAGCTTTCTCTTCTCCAGGCTGAACCAGCTCTTGTAGGGGAGGTGCTCTAGCCCTCTAATCTTCTTCATGGCCCTCTTCTGGACAATGTTAATCATCTCTGTCACCCTCTGCTGGACTCTTTCTAAGTGATTCCTGTCTTTTTTGAACTGGAGAGACCAGAACTGGACACAGTATTCCAGATGTGACCTCACTGAGGCGGAGTATATGGGATCTACTCCTTGACCTGCTGGCCATGCTGTTTTAATACATCCCAAAATACTATTGGCTTTTTTGACCATGATGGCTAGGATTAGTCTGCTTTCTGTCAAGGTCTTCTACACATGTCCTTCTCTGCAGTGCTCCTCTCCAGCAGGTCAGCCCCTAACCTGTACTAATGCACTTCCCCAGGTGTAAGACTCTAGGCTTGTTTTTGTTGAACTGCATCAATTTCCTCTCTGTCCAAATCCCAAGTCTTGTTAAATGGCAGCACAGTCTTCTGCTGTGTTAGTTACTCCTCCCAGCTTTGTATCATTAGCAAACTTGCTGAGGGTGGACTCTGTCCCTTTATCCAGGTCAGTGAAGATATTGAGCAAGACCAGACCCAGCACTGATCCCTAGGGAATCCTGCTAGTTACTTCCAGCTAGACTGCACCACTGATCATAACCCATTGAGCTCTGCCAGTCAGCCAGTTCTCAGTCTGCCCCACTGTCCACTCATATAACTCTTTTGTGTATAATATTCTTCTTCTCTTCGTTCTGTTTTTGGAAAAGGAGGTGACTGTTAGGCTGACTTTTCTGTTAAAACTTGTGGATAGCAAAGGTCACGTGTCTAGAAGACTCAAAAGAGTATAACCAGAAATCAGCATTAACAACACATCTCAGAGAACTAGAGCTTCTACACATACAATAAATGGTTTTACTTATGTTATTTCTGAAGACTAAAATGCTTAATAATCATACTTCATTGAACTGGATTTTCATCCTTTGACTGTACCACATATGGCTATTGCCTAAGGGCTATATTATATATGGAAAGCGTATGTTATAATACATGTTAGTCTTTTCCAAAACTGTGTGACATGCAAAGGGATATATGAAAATGTAGTTAGTAATAGTCAAATTGGCACATACTACAAAGCTTCTTATAAAATCTTTCTCTGACAATTTTTTTGTGTCTTGCTCCTATTCAGTTCTTAATAATTAAATGCTCTTAGATGAAAGCAAAATTCAATGCTTTCTTTGTTTTCTGCACATAGATTCCCATAAAAAGAAATGCTTTTCCATCCTTCTTAATTAAGTTCTGTCCGTTTATATGAAGCAATAGGTGCTGAGGTTTCTGGTGTTTTTTTTTAAGCTTTTGCTTTGTAATTCTGTTTTATCATATTGGTTTGTGTCTGTTACATTCACTAGAGCTGCTATCACTTTCATGACTATTTTAAACTTTATTTTTTATCAGGTCTGTCAGATAGCATTATTCAATCCATTATGTTTAGTTTCCCTGCTCTCAGTAGCTGTAATCATATGCTAAGTTTAAAAGCATCTTGTTATATCTGATACATCAAGGAAGGAAATAATTTTAACATGGTTAAGATGCCACCTGTGTAGATCAATGTGGAATTTCATGGTAAGTGAGTGCATTGAAACATTCACATTTTTGTACTGTATCTGTAACTGCTGGAAGCTTCAGTTTGGGAGCTTTCCATATTTTGATCAGAAGCAGTCACTATCCCAAGTGGATACCAACCAAGCACCCATAGACAAGTTAATGTAAGCCTGGCCCATTTCTGTTTTTCTTCAAGTGCAAACTGCTGCCATGCAAGTGAAAGCATTTTTACAACCTGTAACTTTGTTGTTTTTTTTTTACTCTGCTTCCTCCTCAGACTTGGGCAAGCAAAACAATGTACACGAGTGTTATAACATTAAAAGAAAAAGAAAAAAAAAGTAAACAAATGAAAAAGACTGTTGTGTTTTGGTGTTCTTTTAAGAGATACATAATTTCTTAATTTCTAAGTTTCTGTGTGAGAATGAAAATGAATACATGAATATTCTGCAGTTTGCAAGGGCTCCTCCAAAAGTAACACTTCCTATTTGTATTGCTTGCCTATAGTGTCAGAGGCAGATGGTGGCATGGCAGTAGAGGTTGAACCTTCCCACCATTATTCCATTACATGTTGTTGCCATGTGACAGATGACAGCAGAGCAGCAGTCTGACAAAATGGCATCTGACATGGAAGTGCATATGAAGCAAAGGGGTGTTACTGAATTTCTCCAAATGGAACAAAAATGCCCCTATTGACATTCATTTACACTTGCTGAATGTTTATGGAGACCAAACAGTGGCTACGAGCACAGTGAGGCAGTGGGTGATGCATTTCAGCAATGGTGACAGTGACAGTGGGTTGCCTCCACTGGTGCATATTTTTATGAGTGCAGCATGCAGACTTCTGTTCATCGCTGGAAAAAATGAAGAGCTCTTGGTAGCAACTGTGTTGACAAATAGTGTGTGTAGCAAAGAATTTAATTTTGAATATTTTACTCATTGTATCTGTTGTAGTTTCCATGAAAACAAATAAGAGCCATTACTTTCAGAGCAGTCTGTTAATATATCTACAAATTATGAAAATTGTGAGTTATGAAAATTGAATGAACACATACCCTACTTTATGCAAAATTTATAAATTGCACTTATAGACACTGCGACATGTCCACACACACAGGCATTCTGTACCCCTGATACAGCCA